TCAGGCTCGAGTTCGAGTCCCACTTGGGGATAAGTCGGACACAACAGCAGAATGGAATGCATTTTCGGGACGGCTCCTCATCAGCAGAAAATTCTGCTGTTGTGTCCGAAAAATTAAACTTTCAGTATTCTTATAATTAAAAATATCATTACAATTTGGAAAATGACTTATCCCCAAGTGGAACTCGAACTCGAGCCTGAAGAATATTCAATTAATAATATTAATATCACAGTTCGAAGAAATCAATAATCTTAATAAAAACGATTTTATTTTAAATTTTGTATCTCTTTTAATTGGTTAAGGAGTTATAAGCATTTAAAGATTTTTCAAGCTAGGGCCAATGGGTGAAAAGTTACACTCAATCGAAAAAACCCTGTATGACCTCTAACTCCTACAGAGCTGACCTACTATCTAATAATACTAACATTGGTGTAAATTTCATCCAAATCGATTTTTTGACTTTCATGAAAAAATTTCATGAAAGGTAATATTTTTATTGATCCAAAACTATAAATAAATAAATTAATTCATTTTTAGTTATTCGATTTTTTTTAGAAAACAGTAGCCAATATTGTACCCCCTACAGATTAAAATACTTCTAGCCGAATTTAAATATAAAAAGGGATCTGGTAGTCTTATTTCATTACGCGGTTCCATTAAAAATGTCGATTATTTGTAGAAAATGTAAAAAATGGATCTGACCGTTTAAACTTTGGTGGGAAATGTATTGGGCATAAGAGAATCCTATTTTTATTGCTTCCTAAAGTATAAAAGGTAATTTCAATAAATACAAAAGTACATATATTCAATATTAATTATAATATTATTTTGTCTGTTTCGTTGAAGGATTAATGCGTTCCAAAATATAACTCTTACAATTTGGTGGATTGATCATAAAATTTATGAAGAACTACAAAAATATTTTAGAGTCCAACGTTTTACAATTTTTGGAAGTGTACCAGTCAACAGTTGGAAGATTAATACAGATTTCCTGAAAATTATCTTATACGGTAATAATTCTAATTTTTTCATACATATATTACTTATTTTAGATTAGTTGTTAAATGAATTATTTTTTCTATTATTTTAATAAAAACTATAAAATTTCATTTTATTTAGATTTATTTTTATATATTTTATGTTAATGAGTATATAAATAGAAGATGAGAAAACTCATCTTCTAAAAGAAGAGAGTACTCATCTTCTAGCAGAGAAAACTCATCTTCTAGAATATAAGATAGGAACACTTCTGGAAGATACGATAACAACACTTCTAGATGATACTAGAAGAAGAAACTTCCTAGTCACATCTAGAAGAGTCTTTAGCAATACCTTACTTCCAAGAGTTATCTAGAAGTTTCTTTTGTGGGTCTTCCAGAAGTATCTTCCCGACTGGTGACAAGAATTCGTATACTTCCGCAATATCGCTTGCGAGCTTTTATCACGTTTGGAAGTTTCACTCGGGTAACTTCCGCAATAGTACCTTTGCGAAGTTGTGCAGCAAAAGTGGGCGGATTTGGTTTTCTTTTTTTTTAATTTGCTTTCACTTCTTTTCATTTTGGACAGCTTTAAAAACACAAATTACCACGCGTTAAAAGTAAATTTAAAAATAAATTTTTCTTAACAAAATTTATGTATAAACACTTTCCTTTAACTTTTATTGATATTTTTAGGCTTTAAAACATATTTTTAACACTTTTAGAGTTAATATCAATTTTAGTTTTATATTTATTCAATTATTGACCGACACGATTTTTCCTTTTACTTCTTCATGGCAGGGTTACCAACCACTTTAATCGGGCAAACCTTTTAGAAACTACAGAACAGTTCGTGTGCGTCATCATAACATAAAATTTTTGTACAAGATATTTTTTTAACAAATGGTTGTCTTGCCTTTAATATGAACTCCTGGATAATACGAACACCCAAGATTTTACATAAGTGACTCTAAAGAGTGAACAACGCTAGCCTCTATTAAGTGAACTTAAAGTATTTTTGTGAAAAAATTAACAAAATATGATTTTTTATAAGTTTTTTACACATTAGTTTATTTTTTTATGAAATTATTTATGAAAAGATATGTTTTTTTGTCGTTAGAAAAAGCTCCGAAAAACAAAATACTATAACACCACTTGACTGAACAAATTTCTTGATTTATTTAACAGGTTTCTCTATTTCACTTGTTTATTTAAAATTTAATGATGCTTCGATAATCCAAATATTCTGATGAATTTTGTAGTAAAAAACTTCAGAGGAGGACATATTAAAACGTTTGAGTAGACAACAATGTTAAGAGAAAGCAAATCATATTTGATTCATATCAATCAATTGAAATGGGAACTTTTAATTTTAAATTCAGAGAAGTCATTTCGAATTCAGAAAAGCATAATTGAAACTGATAATTTTAATTTTACATTCAGAGTATTCCAACTGAAATTAAGATTTTCGTTTCGGAAAGGAACAATTGAATTTGATATTCAGAAAAATCAATTATAAATGAGATTTCTTCGTTGGAAATTCTGAAGAGAACAAGTAAAAATTAAAGTTTTTATATGAAACTTGGAAAACAATTTTAAATTGAAGATAAAGCGTATATCATTTGCGAATTTCGGGTCTTCCGATATTGAAATAAAAAATCTCAACTCCAATTTTTCGGACAACGAATTTCTAACTAATAAAGTCTTAAGTAATTCCAATTATTATTTGCCGAATTTCTAACAAAAATTTAATAGTTCTTTTCTAATCAATTAAAAAAATTATTAACAATTTAATCAAAATAGTGTAATAACACCAAAATAACATTGTTTATTAACTTTTTATGATCTCTTTAAAGTGAAATTTCTGCATAAAGTACACAGGCCTTGCATGAATTAGTTCACTTTATCCCGACTTCACTTCACTTCATAGGAGCAGTTAAGATTCCTCAACATTTGTGCATGTAAAAGTATCGAAATATACATGTATTTGAAGAATAAGTGGACTATGTGAAGGGTTTTATTTATATTGTTATTACGGTATCGAAGCACACTGGGTTTAGCTAGTATGATAATAAAATTCAATATAAATCTAATAAATGTGAACACCGGGTATCTCTAATTGAAATAGCGAGACATTCCAGTATAATGCTAAAATGGGTTCCAGGCCATAGTAACTGTTAGGGTAACTGTAGGAAGAAGAGGTGTCCGTTAGGGTGGGTCGAAAATAGGCTTTTCTCTCAAATGGTAAATATAAGAAAATTTTTGTTAGTTTTGAAAAATTTAACAAACAAAAATATTATGTTTATCTTTATAAGGTTC